AACCCGCTGCGCCACCAGGGAGGGCCCTGCCTTGGATTTTTAACCTGTAGACTGACCTTGAACCAAGGGCCTTGAACTGGTCAGCATCAGTTAGTTCTTTCCTCTGAACAGGAAAGCCATGAAGTGACACATAGTCCTTCCACAAGATTAATGATTGCCCAAGGCAGAGCTTGGAAACTGGAATCCCACTGACCATTTCCAAAAATGTTTTAAAAATTAAGTCTCAGCTAGATTTCACATAAAAACCTAGATTCTCATGTGTGGCAACAATCAGTTAAGTAGAATTGAGGTCACTTCCTCAAGACAGGGTTTATGTTTCCTGTGGAGGTGAGATGGGGCTGGAGAATAGGGATGATGGCCTCACTCAGGAACAGGGTGCCCTTTTGGGGACTAGGAAGGCTCAGGAGCCCATAAAACAGAGATGTCAGCTTCTTTGTTGGCACAAGGGGTTAAAGAGACAGCACTGCCAAACTGTCACACTGCAGAGATCCCTGGCCAAGGAGCTGACCCACATGGCGCGGCAGACCTTTCCTGTCTTGTCCGCTGCTTGCCTCAGCAGTGTAGTTCTGCCTGTTCTGCTCCCCACTCTGTCTCTGGCAAATCCTCTCACCCCCCTATACCTCTGGCCTACACCCCAGTTCTTGAATGTAAAAATAAATAAAAGAAATTTTTAAAAACAAACCAAAAAAAAAAAAAAAAAAAAGCAAAACAAAACCAGAGCTCACAGGCAGGAAGGAAGGGTGGGACTATGAGGCAGAACAGAGTAGCAGAACTCCAGGTCAAGGTTGGTGAGAACTCAGGGGTCAGTTTTTCCAGGTGGGATCAGTTACAAACTCAAGTACACCCTTACTTCCTTCACCTGTGTGTGTTTAGTAATGTTGTCACTACCCAAGATGCCATCTGGGTTGTCTGTCAGTTTTTGTTGTAATTTTTGCTTCTATGCTCTTTTGACATCTACCTGACCTCATTCAGCTTCTTATTTCTCTAGTTCAGCATTTACCTCCTAGAAGCAAAAACATTTACCCTTGTAACCTCATCTATCTCATCTGTTTGGGTGACTGTAACAAAATACCACATTCTGAGTGGCTTATAAACAATAGAAATTCAGTGTTCACAGTTGTAGTGTCCAGGGAGTCCAAGATCAAAGCACCAGCATCAGTGAGGCCTTCTTTCTGGTGACTAGCTGCCTCCCTCCTGCTGTGTCCTCATGTGGTGAGGGGCAAGTGTCTTTTAGAAAGCACCAACCCCATTCAGGAGGGCCACATTCAGGACCTAGCACCTCCCTAAAGTCCCACCACCTGATAGTATCTGCCAGCATCTTTAAACAGTTAGCATTTCAGGGCCCTCCCTGGTGACACAGTGGGTTAAATTGCAGCACTGTGACACTGTCCGCAGCCACTGCAGCATGAGTTCAATCTGGCCAAGGGAGGTGACCCACATGGTGCAGCAGACCTTTCCTGACCCACCCACTGCCCTCCTCAGCAGTGTATTTTAGTAGATCTGCCTGTTCTGTTCCCTACCCTATCTCTGGTGAATCCTCTCATCCCCCGCACCTCTGGCCTATACCCCAGTTCTTGTGTGCATAAATAAATAAATCTTTAAAAAAGTAGATTAAAAAAAAGGTTAGGATTTCAATCTGATTTTAGGAGTGATACATTCAGACCATGACAATACCCAAGGTACTTAACATTGTTGCAGTATTGGGTGCTTCCTCTGAGCAATACAGATGTACTTCTACAGCACACACAGTAGGTGGCTTGAAGGTTTGAAAACTGCCTGAAAAGCTGTTTTAAGGAACTGGAATATAGACATGAGATGTATCAGAGGGAGTGTTACAGTTTCCTTCTCTTGTCTTTAGTAGACAGGCTGTGCTGGTGGCTGGGAATGCCAGGAGGGAGTTAATGTGGTCCCTGTCTTCTAGAAGTTCAGTTTAATGGGAAAGCCGACATGTGCAGGCACCTCAGAAGACTAAGCCTGTGCTGATGTTTGAGTGTTTATTTATTTATTTATTATTTTATTTTATTTTATAACAGTTTTGATGTTTGAGTGTTTAAAGATGTTTAAGATCCCTGGAAAAAAGTTACCAGGCGTTAGCCTTTAGTTCCATCCTGTTAGCCCTGTATTCTAGATGTTCTCCCGAGGTAGGGTTTTTCCTGGCCTCTGGAACGTGTAAGCAAAGTCCTTGGGGATCAAATAGATTTAGCCTTGTTTAGTTTCAGAAGTCACATACAAGCAAATTGCTGAGAAAATCTGACTCTATGTGTTCACAAGTTTTTAGCAAGAGAAGGGTGCAGTCTGATGTTTCATCATCTCCCTGGTACTTGGGATTACCTAGGGCTGCCAGACAGGACTTGTCACGACCCTGTTGGAGCCTCTTGCTCTGAAAATGAGTGTTGAGTCCCATTTTATTATTATTATTTGAAGATTTATTTATCTGTATACAGAACTGGATTACAGGCCAGAGGTGCAGGGGTGGTGAGAGGCTTCACCAGAGACAGAGTGGGGAGCAGGACAGGCAGCCCAACAAAGTACTCTCCTGAGGGGAGCAGCGGGCGGGTCAGGAGAGGTCTGCCTCGCCATGTGGGTCATCTCCAGGGCTGGGATTGAACTTTTCACTGATGTGGCTGTGGCTAGCTTGCAGTGCTGTGTCCTAACTTGTTGCACCACCAGGGAGGGTATTACTATATATATATATAAATATATATATTTTTAAAGATTTATTTATTTATGCATACAGAACTGGGGTACAGGCCAGAGAGGTGCAGGGGCGGCGAGAGGCTTCACCAGAGACAGAGTGGGGAGCAGAACAGGCAGATGGATGAAGTACACTGCTGAGGGGAGCGGCGGGCGGGCCAGGAGAGGTCTGCCGCGCCATGTGGTCACCTCTGGGGCAGGCGGGTATTGAACTCATGCTGAAGTGGCTTTAGCTTCTCAGTGCTGTGCTTTAACCCGCTGCGCCACCAGGGAGGGCCGGGTCTTACTATATTTTTAAAAAAGATTTATTTGTGCATATAAGAACTGGGGTGATATGCACACCAAAATGAGAGGATTCACTAAAGACAGATTGGGGAGCAAAACAGGCAGATTGATGAAGTACACTGCTGAGGGGAATAGCACGTGGTTCAGGAGAGGTCTCCAGGGCTGGGTGTGGAACTCAAGCAGAGGCTGGTGATAGCTTAAAAGTGCTGTCTCTTTAACCCCTGTGCCACCAGGGAGTCCCCTTTAGTCCCATTTTATAGTTGGAAAGACTGCACCAAACAGGTCTTGTTACTTTCCAAAGTCCCACAGCACATAGGTGAAGTCTTTGGTCTCTCCATGCTGACCTTCCTTCTCAGTGCATGGTGGTTATCAAAAGCAGCAATTCTTGCTCACTGAAAGCGCAGTAATAAGGAACCTTGGTGATCTCATTCTACTCTTTATTCTCCTAGCTCCAGGCTTTCTTCCTGGTGTCAGATGACATCATGGATTCATCCCTCACCCGAAGAGGGCAGCCCTGCTGGTACCAAAAGGTAAAGTGGAGGGGAAGTAGCAGCGGGCGTGGCTCGTCTTGGGCCCCTCATTAGGCCCCAGGGAGGTGGTTACATAGAGCCCATAGAGCCTTTTGAAGTGCTCAGAGTGACAGGTCTTGGTATGAATCTAGACTAGAGACTGATTACTTTTTTTCTCTGCCCCTGACAGCCTGGCATAGGTTTGGATGCCATCAATGATGCTCTGCTTCTGGAATCATGTATCTATCGCCTGCTGAAACTATACTGCCGGGGACAGTCCTATTACCTGAACTTGATCGAGCTCTTCCTGGAGGTGTGCTTCAGACCAGACTCAGTGCCTTGAGACTGCCCACAGATATTGCCATTAGCTCATTTCAGGGCATAGCAGATAGCTCTGGTTGCCTCGGAGGAGAAGAAAGCGAGGAATGGAGTTGGGAAGGCATTTTTGTCCCTGTGTGATTGGGAGGAGTGACAGGACTGTGTATTTGCATATGGGCCTTGAGTTTTGGGGCTCTCTCTTCCTCCTACATTTCTCACTCTGACCGGTTGTTAAATGGTATGGGGTGTGGGGCCCAAATTTCAGAGTTCTACAGCTCTAGAGACAGTCTAGCTTATGGGCCATCCTCCTCTTCCTCAGTGTTCCTATCAGACGGAGATTGGACAGACCCTGGATCTCATCACAGCTCCCCAGGGCAATGTGGATCTTGGCAGATTCACTGAAAAGAGGTGAGGGAAAGTGGGAACCATGTCAGAAGAGTGTGGAAGGGCTCCTACCGGGAACTGCCCTTCTGAGGAGAGTTATCTTCCCCCCACTCAGGTATAAATCTATTGTCAAGTACAAGACTGCTTTCTACTCCTTCTATCTCCCTGTAGCTGCTGCCATGTACATGGTGAGTGAGCCTCCCCACGTTCCCTTGTCCTGTGGTGTGGGCTTTGGACAGGTAGGCACAGAGCAGACAGATTGGGACAATGCTCCACTAATGGCTGTGTGTCCTTGATCAGGTTACTTAATCTGAGTCCATTTCCTCGGCTGTAAGGTGAGGACAATCTTCCCACCTCAGAAGATGATTGCAAAAAATTACCTGAGGCAAATGATAGGAGAGTAGCTGGCTCATCATAGAGGGACGGGAATCCTACATCTGATTGTGGAGAGGAATGGGAAGAGAGAATTCAGGCTAGGGAGGGAGGGAGAATGAATTTCAAAGGCAGCCTGTGGGATTAACTGCTGAATCTGACCTTGCTTCTCCAAGTTTCCTTTTCACCCTGCAAGAAGTTGGAAATGGTGAGAAGATTAGGAAGGAGTATTAAAGTGAGTCAGGGTCTGATTGCCAAAGAAGAGGTTGTCTCAGGGCCTCCAGGATGGATTCATCTCTACTGGGATTCGATGGAGGGGCTAGTGAAAAACAAGTGGGATGGAGCCTCAGCTTCCTATTTCAGAGCAGCCAGGAATGTATGAAAGGAGAGATGGTTTGGGGGCTGTGCTGGGGCAAGACCCAGTGGGAGGAGGCAGTGGGGATGAGGAAGGCACTGTGGCATCTGGCTTATGGATCCCCTTTCACTATAGGCAGGCATTGATGGGGAACAGGAGCATGCCAATGCCAAGAAGATCCTGCTGGAAATGGGAGAGTTCTTTCAGATCCAGGTAGGAGGGCAGGAGGCACCGGCAGAAGGGTACAGCGTTCCTTCCCTCCCTGGAGCCTGTCCATTCTTTCTTTTCTGCCTCCCTTTCTAGGATGATTACCTGGATCTCTTTGGGGACCCCAGTGTGACTGGCAAGATTGGTACTGACATCCAGGACAACAAATGCAGCTGGCTGGTGGTTCAGTGTCTGCAGCGGGCCTCTCCAGAACAGCAGCAGATCCTGCAGGTGCCCGAGAGGGCCGTGGGTCCAGGAGCTGAGAAGAGAGGGAGTAGTGGTTCTTTAATAAGAGTGGTGACCCCCAGTGCAAATGTTACCAGATGCCTTTTCTTATAACTCAGTGTGTTGTGTGCCCTACAGCTGTCTCTAGTGGGTGGCAGCCAGCTGTGCTGCCAGACACCTTCTAATGAGCAGGAGAACTTTGTATAACTTCCTGTAATTACCTGGGCCAAAATTCCAATAGTGCCAAGATTGAGAAACCCTGGGATACAAGAGGCTGAGTCAGTGAACATTTGGGATGGAGAGGAGGTTGTTGAAGGTCCTATAAGCAGGCATGGAGTGAAGGGCATTGCAGATGTTCTGGAGTATCTGGTTGAGGGAAGTAGGGAGGGAAGGCTGAAGCCCATTTTCCTGCCTCTTTAACCCCTTCCAGGAGAATTATGGGCAGAAGGAGGCAGAAAAGGTGGCCCGGGTGAAGACACTGTACGAGGAGATGAAGCTGCCAGCTTTGTTCATGCAGTATGAAGAGGACAGTTACAGCCGCCTTATGAGCCTCATCAAGCAGCATGCTGCGCCCCTGCCTGCGTCCATCTTCTTGGGGCTCGCACACAAGATTTATAAGCGGAAAAACTGACTTAGGGACAAAGACTGGGAGGAAAGGCCCTCAATAAATTACTGTCTAACCTCGTGATTCTGTTTCTGCTGTGCTAGCCAGCGGCACACTTTTGTCAGGCAGGATGGGAATAGCTGCGTGGAACCTAGGGTGTTGGATCCCTTTGGGCAAGAAGCTTGGGCTATATTAAAAAGCTGCGAGCCGGTCTTGGGAGGCAGGATGACGCAGTAGAACGTCAGTGCTGGGGGTGGGTCTGAGTCCCGCCACTCCCCTGCGTGAAGGGGCGCGGCTGCGCAGCACCGGCGGGTTGTCCCAGCGCCCCTCCCCTCCAGTCGGCTGGGCCGGGCGGGACCGTGGGAGCCGCGGACTGGTCCACACCGGGAACGCTAGCAGGAGGACCCTGGTGAGCTGGGCTCGACCTGTGGGTGTGGATGGAAGGATCGAAGCACGCGGGATGAGGCGGGAGAGGGGAGTAGAAAAATGAATAAAGACCGAGTAGGGTGGTAGCTGGAAGATTGAAGACAAGTGCGAAGAGAATGGGCCGACACGCCGATGTTCCGAGTCGGGTGAAGGTGCACCGTGCCTGTAGGCTTGAACCCGGAGCTGACCGGGTCTGTGCGGGCGGTGTCCCAGGCGGAGTTGACAAACTGACGCTTGCTTGGTCCTTCCCCCCTCACACCCGCCCCTTTTCTGCATTAACCGGCCTGATGTGCCCTTCCTCCCCCATCCCTCCATTTCAGAGCATCTGGGCGGGGCGTCTCCTCATTCTTCCTCTGAGAATGAGGGTCAGGTTGGGGGACAGGGCCAAATTGTGGTAGAGAACATCCGGGGGTCCACTGGGGCCCCATCCATTTTCAAGCCCCCGCACCTCCGCGGAGATGCAGAGCGCAGCCGCATTCTCTGACCCTCCCCGCCCCATTCCCGGGGGGTTTCGTTCGGCTCCACCTGCAAACACTGCAGTGGAAACTAATGGCCAGTCGGTGGTCATTTGCATCCCATTTGCATATCGTCGGAAGCTGCCGGCGCCTTTCCAGGCCTGCTCTAGCCGTCAGTCACCTCGGTGTCCTTCCGGAGGCCGGCACCATCACGGGCTGGGTTTCACCACCTCTGTCTTCTAGGTCTGCATCTGCGGTTGCCAGGTAGGCGGATGTGAGAAGCTCGATCCTTTTGATTCTCTAGAGGCCATCCAGTCGCCGCCGGCACCATGCTGTCCCCTCAGAGGGCTTTACTCTGCAACCTCAACCACATCCACCTCCAGCATGTCTCTCTGGGTCTGCATTTGTCCCGCCGTCCAGAGCTACGGGAGGGGCCCTTGAGCACATCCCCTCCCCCAGGAGATACCGGGGGCAAAGAGAGCCGAGGTCCCTGCAGCGGGACCCTGGTGGACGCCAATTCCAACAGTCCTGCCGTGCCCTGCCGATGCTGCCAGGAACACCGGCCAGGCCTAGAAAACCAGCAGGACCCAGCACAGGAGGACGAGGGGGCTACTTCTCCCTCGGACCCCGGCTGCTCCTCCTCTCTCAGCTCTTGTTCAGACCTGAGCCCCGATGAGTCCCCCAACTCAGTCTACTCGCGAGAACTCCCAGGTGAAGAGGATGTCCACCCTCAGCCCAGCATCGTCCCCCTGGAGCAGGGCTCCCCACTGGTTTCCCAGGGCCCGGGTGCCTGCTCTCCAGACAGCTTCTGCTGCTCCCCTGATTCCTGCTCTGGAGCTTCCTCCCCACCCAGCCCTGGCCTGGACTCCAACTGCAACGCCCTGACCACCTGCCAGGACCATCCTGCCTCAGGGCTAGAGGAAGAGGATGTAGGCGGGGAGCAAGAACTCCCGATTTCAGAGCTGGCAGAGGCAGATGATGGGAAAACCGAGGATGGTAAAACCGAACCCAGTTGGAAAATCAACCCCATTTGGAAAATTGACACCGAGAAAAAGGAAGCTGACTGGAAAATCACTGAGAACAATAACTCTGGTTGGAAAACCAATGGGAATACTAACTCTAGCTGGAAAACGGAATCCGGAAAATTCGACTCCGGCTGGAAAACCAACACAGGAATAACTGATTCTGGCTCAAAAACAGATGCTGGGAGAATTGATGGGGAATGGAGAAGTGACGTCAGCGAGGAGCCAGTGCCCCACCGGACAATCACATCCTTCCATGAGCTGGCCCAGAAGCGCAAGCGGGGCCCGGGGCTGCCCCTGGTGCCGCAGGCCAAGAAAGACCGCAGTGACTGGCTTATAGTCTTTTCGCCCGACACTGAGCTGCCCCCCACCGGGTCGCTGGGCAACTCGGCCCCGCCTCCCCGGGAAGTCACCACCTTCAAGGAACTCAGGTCCCGAAGCCGGGCCCCGCCTCCACCACTCCCGCCCCGGGACCCCCCAGCTGGCTGGGCCTTGGTCCCGTCCCGGCCCCCACCCCCACCCGTCCCTCCCCGGAGGAAGAAGAACAGGCCTGGGCTGCAGCCTATAGCCGAAGGGCAGCCCGAGGAGGGCAGGGCGGTCAGCCCAGTGGCCGGCCAGGAGGCTCCAGCCGCGAAGGAACCAGAGGAACCCAGCGCACAGGCCGGCCTGGAGGGTAAGAGGCTGCAGGAGGAAGCAAGTGGAGGGCTGGGCTTCGGCCTCGCCCTCGCCTCCAGAGCTTCCAACCTGGTCCCTCGTCTCCCCTCCATTCTGTGTCACCCATCCTTCCTGTCCCCTTCTAGTAGGGAGCGCTCCGGGAACGGGAAACTGGGCGGGTCGTTGGGCTACGGGACTAACTCTTTGCTCCCTCTTTCTCCCGCCCCTCTTTGCCTGGCTGCCGGCCCCGCTGCCCTTCTTCCCCTCCGCATCTGCCCCGCCAACCCCGCCTGCAGCCCGTCCCCTTCTGCTCCCTCGGCCGCTTGTTTTCCGGTTCTCGGCCGACGGGCGCCCTCTGTTGGAGGGTGGGGGCGCGGGCGCAGCAGGGTCTCTGCTCCTAGCACCCCTGGCCGGCTGGCCCGGCGCGGGGCTGCGGCTGCTAGGGGCGCGGAGTACCCCAGAGGAGCAGCTGCTGCCTGTCCGCCTGTCCCCGGTGGGAGCCTATTCGCCTCCAGCCCGGGGGGCCCTGCCCTGCCTGGCCAGCCCTGAGCTGGCACTGCTGCTGTCCCCGCTCTTTCCCAGAAGTAGTACCTTCCCCGCCGCGGCTTCCCCACCCCGCCAGGTACCCGCCCCCCCGCTGCCACCGCCACCTCGTCCGCCGAAGGCCCCTCGCTGGACCAGGAGCCCGCCGCCTCCGCCCAGGCTACGTAAGACGGACCGGGGCCTGCCCCGCGGCCACGCCCCAGGCGGGCTGCCCCGCCCACCCAGGCCCCGCCCACCCAGGCTCCGCCCACCCTGTGCCAACTGCCCGGCCCAGACCTCGCCCGGCCCAGGCCCCGCCTACCCAGGCCCTGCTCACCCAGGCCCCGCCCACCCCGCCGGGACCTGGGTTTTACCACCGTTCCCCCGGGGTTCAGGGGCTCGTCCCCGCCCTTCAACCTGAGCGGATTCCGAGCCTATTCGCGGGTCCCGGGAGTCCGCCCCGCTCTCGGTGCTGCCGGCAGACTGCTGCTCTCCGGCTACGTGGCCGGGGCGGAGTGGATGGACCAGGGCTTTCCCGGCTCCATATTCACCTTCAGCGAGTCGCAGGAAGCCCATAGTTAGGGACCATGGGTCACACTCTCAGGTGTGAAATCCCCGGGTCTGGGCTGCAGGTCGAGCCTGACCCCCACGTTGTTGGGTGAGGGCGGAGGGGAGGCCCCGGAGCTCACCGGCCGACCGGATTCCAGTTGAGCCCTCCCTACCCGGCCAGCCCCTGGCGTGCTGCCGCCCTCTGCGAAGACGCTGTCGCCGGGCACTCGGGTTTCCCCTTTCCGGCGCCTTCCAGCCTCCCAATCCTAGGGTCCCCTCACCGTCTGTCCCTCCTCCCACGGCTGTCTGTCTGTCTTTCCATTGGCTCAGGATCCCCACGTGTTCCCTGGGTCTCCGCGGGCCGGCCCAGGCTTTGGGCGGCGAAGGGCTGCCCCTTCCTTCCCTGGCCCTGTTATCTCCCGCCCCACAGGCCCCAGCCGGGCTGGCGGGAGGTGAGTGGAGCAGTCCCGCTCCGGGACTTCCGTGACCCAGGAGGTGGGAGTCGGACCCCTGAGGACGGGAAATGGGAAGTGTGTAGGTGTGCGGGGGAGTGTTAGGGGGAAGAGAGGGTGTCAAGTGCTGGGATCTGTGCAGGGTTCTTTTTGTGCCGGGCTTTGTGCGCCGGCTGCAGACCGGCAGGAGGTGACCTGTGCAGAATCCAGAGTCCTTGGGGTAACCCTTGGTTAAGTGTCACTGTGTTCTTCTTCCTTTACACCAGTCCGTAGTTCCTGGTCGTTCGCCGGTGTCCCCGGGGCCCAGCGACTGTGGATGGCAGAAGCCCAGAGTGGGACTGGCCAGCTGCAGGAGCAGAAAAAAGGTAGGACCCCCTGACTTGGACCCCAGGCTTCCGAAACAACCTCCCCTCACCTAGGCAGGCCTGGAGTTGGGTGGGATTGCATGAAAACGTCTCTCCAGGTCCCTTGGCTTTGCCAGTGAGTTAGGTGGATTTTGATGCTCCTTCCCTTCCCTCCCTCCCAGGTCTCCTGATAGCCGTCAGCGCCTCTGTGGATAAAATCATCTCACACTTTGGGGCTGCTCGAAACTTGGTTCAGAAGGTGAAGGTGCCTGGGGAGGATATGGGGGTGAGAGTAATGTAGTTCTAGGGTCCAGAACAGTTGGTGGGGAGGGTGCTAGAGGCACCCCTGGACCCAAGCCCTTTACACTGATCTCCAGGCCCAGTTGGGGGACAGCCGGCTGAGCCCAGATGTGGGGCACCTGGTGCTGACCACCCTCTGCCCAGCCCTCCATGCTCTGGTGGCCGATGGCCTGAAGCCTTTCCGGAAGGACCTCATCACAGGGCAGCGCAGGAGCAGCCCCTGGAGTGTGGTGGAGGCCTCTGTGAAGCCTGGTAAAAGGGGGGGATGAAGGGCTGGATGGTGGGCAACCCCTGGCCAGGGCTGGGCGTGGCTGACAGGCCTGGTATCCTCAGGCTCCGGCACCCGGGGCCTGGCCACCCTGTATAGCCAGGTCAGCCGCCTGGCCCCTCTGAGCAGCAGCCGGAGCCGCTTCCACGCCTTCGTCCTGGGCCTCCTCAAGTGAGTGTCCTCCTCTCTGGCATCACCCCTCAGCCTCGGGACCGCAGGGGTGTGTGGATGGCATGCAGTAGGGGTACCCTGTATCCCCAGAAGCTTCCATCTTCCGGCCTCCCAGCTGGTGGGGCTGGAACTCCACCGCCCTGAATTCTGTCCCCTACTTTTTCCCCAGCACTAAGCAGTTGGAACTGTGGTTTTCCAGTCTCCAGGAAGATGCAGGTCAGAGGCCCGAATGGGAGAGAGTGGGATTGTAGGGCTATTGGGGGGAGGGGAAAGGGGTCTTTTCTCTGGGTCCCCACTGCTGTTCAAATAATGTGATCTCATTACTCTTCTGGTTAAAACTCGTTTCAAGAGGGCCCTTTGCCCATGGGAGGAAAGACCCGAATTCTCACCGTGAGAGTCCTGGTCATGTGACTGCCACCTTAGGGCTGGGCATTCCCTGTGACTTGTCCTTTCTCTTTTGGTTCTTCCCGCCCCAGACCTGGCTTTTGAGGTCCCGCCCCCTAAGACTGGCCTCTCTGCACCTCTTGCCTCTTCCGTAGCTGTTGTTCCTCCTCTGGGTCCTTCTTCAGTGAGGCTCCACCTCACCCCCGTTTTGCTCCCGTGGCCTTCTAGTCCTTTCTGCTAGTTACTGGTCACCACTTTTCGTACCCGGGTCTCGCTCACCTCTGCTGGACTTAGGCAGGGATGTCAGCCAGATGTCCTCCCCAGGCCCCCACCCCCCCATGTGGACACTAATGAGGATGTATGCAGACTGGGGACTGCTGCACTAGGTCCGGCTGGGGCTGATGTGAGCTGCCCCTTCCCAGGCCTGCTGTCCCTCCTGTACCTGCCCACCGGCTTCTTCGCCCTGGCCCGCGGCGGCTGCCCCGCCCTGTCTACGGAGCTGCTGCTGCTGCTGCAGCCGCTGTCTGTACTCACCTTCCACCTGGACCTGCTCTTCGAGCACCACCACCACCTGCCCCTGGGCCCGCCTCCGGCCCCCGCCCCGCCAAACTCACCTCCTGCACTGCAGCAGACTGTGCAGGCCATGCTGCACTGGGGCGGGCGGCTGGCTCAGAGCCTACAGGGGGCTTCCAGGGAGACCGCTCCAGCTCCTTCTGCCCCCTCAAGCTCTCCCACACCGGGCAGCTGGTGGGAGCAGCTGACCCAGGCCTCCCGGGTCTACGCCTCTGGGAGCTCGGAGGGCTTCCCTCTTCCCCGGTGGGGATGTCGGCGTCCTGGGGCCTCAGCCGAGGGCTCACAGGAGAGGACCCCGCCCGCAGAAGAAGCCAAACCAGGAAGAGGCCCAGACAGAGGCGTGTGGCTGGGGAGACTGTTTGGAGTGCCTGGAGGCCTCACAGAAACTGGGAGTGGAGTCCTGAAGTCCAGGTAATGGGGTCCCTGGGCCCCTCCATCACCCTTGAGCCCCTTCTCAGAGCTGGAGTCACTCCAAATTAAAATTCTGTAGTGACCCTTTAGGCCCGGGTTGTTAGTTTCTCTCAACTAAAAATTTTTACATGATTAAGTGGCTCCATTTGATGGCTCTCCAATAACCCATAGAATGTCCTTCATTTCCCCTCTTGTCCCTGAAAGCCAGAATATTGACTTAAGCCCTTTAGAGAACAGAAAGAATTTGCTGACATCTGCTCTAGGATCTGACCTTTGGTGACACTAATGACCTTATGCTAGTGGCCCCTAGATCCCTGCTGTTTCCACAGGTCCCATTATGACCTTTGGTGTTGACCTCTGTTGTCACTCACCCCCAACCACCTACAGGTACCTGCGTCCCACCTTGCCATTCTGCCCTCAGGGATGACCACATCCTGTCCTCCTCTGAACCATAGTCTGGCCCCTTAGCCTCTTCCCTTCAAAGCCCTGGGCTCTTGGGTTCTTTTTCTGGTGGAGGAATGATTTTGTGACCTGTGTCCTTTTCTCCAGGAGACCCTCCAGCTGGCTGTCCCCAACAGTGAATGTATTAGCTCTGGTGAAGCGGGGCCCACCTTCTGACACCCCCTCCTTTCCTGAGGAGCTTGAGGCCTCAGCAACTAGTTTGGTGCAGACCCACAGGTAAGGAGAGTCAGAATGTGGCTGCCAGGTGTGCGTGTGCACAGAGCGGGTAGGCGGTAGTAAAAAAGGTCTTGTGCTTCAGGTCAGACAGTGCTAAGTTTGTTGTTTATTACCGATTCCTCTGAGGTTTAGTTTCTTTTACTGTTAAAAAGAAAGGATTGTTTATACTTCTGTTATGGTTGCTGTGAGACCCAAATATAATTTTGCAAGCATTGGCACACAGTCGATGGTGACTTTGATTCTGGTGTGTTCCCTGAGGGACTGTTTCCCTGTAGTGGGGTCTTCTAACTTGGTACCAGGAGCAGCTTCTGCTTTGTGGTCTTGTTTTCTTGGGGTTCTCTCAACACACTGGATTAGTCTTGATTTTTCATTCATCCAGCAATGCTTTTCAAGTATTTACTGTGTGCTAATGGTAGAGAATACAAAGGTAATGCATCTTGGGGTCCCTGCCCTCAAGGGGCGTGTAGTTCAGTGGGACACCGATGACTAAATGAGCAGTTACAATTCTGGTAATGAATCCAGGAGAGGAAGACTGAGTCCTTTGGGGTCACATGAGGGCTTCTTCCCCAGGTTTAGGGGCTCAGGGGAGGCTTAGTGATAGTATAAGCTGGGCATCTGGCAGAAGGAACAGGATGCAGAGGTGGAGAGCCCAAATGAGGAAAATGAGGTCCATGATTGGCTGTGCCTGGAGTTCAAGATGCTGGCAGCAGTGTTGGGGATGCTGGCAGCTTGTGGAGGCCAATGAAGGAGACAGGATGTCACCTGAGGCAATGGGAGGCTGAGGCTCTTAAGCCTGGGAATGATAAGCTTGCTATTGTCTTAGAGGGATTTCTGACAGCTATGGAGAAGAGCTGGGGAGGGAGGCCAGGAGAGATTCAGGGACACCTTTTGGAGCATCTGCAGTGGTCCATCCAGAGAGAAGCTGGAGGCTTAACCTGGGACAGTGCACTGAAGTTGAAGAAGACGGAATAGTGGGAGATAACACCAACCGATGGAGAGACTAAGGAGTGAGATACATCCTGGTTTTTGCCAGAACAACTCACTCGGTAGAGGTGGTGCTGTTTACCAGAACTCAGGAGGAGGAGCTGTTTGGAGGCTGAACATGAGTCATCTCATTTGCATCTGGTGAATTTGAAGCACCGGAGAAGTGCAGATCAATTAAGTGGCTAAAGAGTGGGTGCCAGCTAGTGGGTTTGCTCAGCACAACCCAGCGGGGACTGGAGTCCAGTTAGAATCCACATGTTGCTAGATGGGCCCTCCGCCTTCTCCAGAGCCCTATCAGTGCTCACTGAGCTGACCCAACAGGGATACTCAAAACGCTGGGCAGGTGGAGGCCTGACTCCCCACCCCTTTCACTCTAGCATCTCCCTTTGGCTCCCCGCAGGGCAGTCCAGACGCTCTGTGACCACACGGCTGCAGGACCTGACCAGCTGAGCTTCCGGCGGGGGGAAGTGCTGCGAGTCATCGCCACTGTGAACGAGGACTGGCTCCGCTGTGGGCGGGATGGAGTGGAGGGGCTGGTGCCCGTGGGGTACACCTCTCTTGTTCTCTAGGCCTGTGGCCTTTTCCTGCAAATGCCTCTCCCTGTCATCTGAGAAATGGAATGGCCAGTGAACACTGACCTGTGTAAATGGTCAGTCCTCCCTAAAGTACCTCCCCTGTGTGCAAAATGCCACTTGCCCCTCATCCCATTTCTGATAATATATAAAACTTTCCTTTTTCCTGCCCTTGCCCATCTGTAAGGTGAAATTTACAAATATATAAAAAGAAATGTCCCTCGGTGCAATCTCTTTTCTTTCCCATCTGCATAAGGGAAAGTCTCCCTATCTGCAAAATGGAAAGTCAGCCCCGCCTCCCCTCTCCACCCGTAAGTGAACTGCCGGTATACACCTCTGTTCCCAAGACTAGAAGTGCCTCTAGTCTTCTCTGTGTATGGAATCTCCCCCACGTTGCCTGTATTTATGATGTACTCAAGCTGTACTAGGTGCTGATGTCTGGACACCCCTGGTGGGTGGCGTGTGCTACTGGTCTGCCTCCTTCCTCTTTTGACCCAATAAAGCGTGGGAGTTAAATATGTGTGTGTGTGTCACTGTTAGTTCAGGGAGGGGAAGGAAGCCAGAGGGAGAGGCTGCCTTTCTCACCAGGTTCAGGTCTTGCTGTTCCCTGAGGAATGAGAAGGGGCCCTGGCATGGTGCCGGAATCTCAGGGTATCTTTATTGTGAGATTTGGTAGTTTGGTTTTACTAGATTCCTATGGTAGGAATCTGAGGAAATATGGGAGAGTAGGCAAGACTTGGCTAGCCCCTGAAATGTGTACTTAGGCGATTCATTTTTGTGAAGGAAAGGACTAAAGGACTGCAAGAAGTGACACATTTTTTGTTTCATAGTTTGGTGATATTTCAGGTGAAGGCAAAATAACTTGATGTCTCTTATTTTAGTAGGTGTTTACAAGTTCCCTTTCAGTCTTTTGAAAGAAGAATAACTAAAGTGCTTTGGAGCTTCGAGGATGGGGTTGGGAATTAAGATTCTAAGAGATTAGAGAAATAGAAAGCTGTAATTATAATCAGGCAACAGGAAAGTTAGTGGGAAGTTGAGAACTATGAAGTGAGAAACTGGAAAGAAGATATTTGACTGTGTTCCTTCATTTTTAAATGTAGGAATGAGGTGACTTGAGGGCTGTAGAGCCAAAGTTTTGGAAATACTCAGCAGCTGGTTAGGCCAGACTCAGGTGCCATGTCCTTTTGCCACTTTCTAAGAGCTGATGTTTCCTGTTCCTTGCCACTTCCTACTATTCATCTGTTCTTTGTGTTTGGGTTCCCCTCTCAAATTTATACCCCATTTGCACTTTGGATAACATCTTGAGGACTTTTGGAAATCCAGTTAAATTTTACTTTTGACATTTAAAAATTTATTTATGCATATAAGAACTGGGGTATAGGACCCTCCCTGGTGGTACAGTGGGTTAAAGCACAGCACTGCAAGCTAGCTGCTGCAGCTTCAGTGTTGAGTTCAATCCCTGGCCCCGGAGGTGACCACATGGCGTGGCAGACCTCTCCTGACCCGCCCGCAGCTCCCCTCAGCAGTGTACTTCATCGATCTGCTTGTTCTGCTTCCCACTGTCTTTGGTAAATCCTCTCACTACCCCTGCACCTCTGGCCTGTACCAATTCTGTATGCATAAATAATCTTTAAAAAAAAAAAAACTGGGGTACAGGCCAGAGGTGTGGGACAGGGGTGAGAGGATTCACCAGAGACAGAGAGGGGAGCAGATCAGGCAGATGGACACTGAAATACACTGCTGAGGGGAACAGCAGAAGGTAGGAGGTCTGCTAGGCCATGTGGGTCAGCACCCTGTCTGGGGATGGAACTCATGCTGCAATGGCTGCTGATAGGTTGATTGCCCTGAGACATTACCCCCTGCACCACCAGGCAGTCCCCCTATAGTTATATTCTTAAGATTTTGAATACTAAAGTTTATGAAGCTACAATTGCAAATTACTGCTGCAAAGCAAGTTTTATTTTAGTAGATACTAAAAGATTTAAAAAAGTATTAGGTAAAGAAAAATCAAGTACTCATTGTTTTTGCAGTTGTGGAGTTACATACAGTAGCATGAGTCCCAAGTCCTCACAGGAGGTTGAGCCATTTCAGTCAGTCACCTTCATGTGTCTGAGCTCTTCTGTTCTAGCTCAACTCATTGTCGAAGTGTTTGACCATGTCTGGGGCAAGCTTCCCTAGATATTCCAGTTGTTGGCAGGTGTGGGTCTATCTTCCTTGGTGAGTAGGGTCCTATCACTGGCTATTGCCAACATTTTTCTATATGTACATGAATACACAGATTTTTGGAGCTCTGGTTCTAACTGGTTACTAGGTGATCTTTGTCAAGTTATTTAGCAACCCTATTTTCCCATCTGCAAATGAGAAGTAATAATTAGAGAGGCTATTATGAGGATTTGGTTTTGTACAAAATTAAAATGTAATGACTAACAATAGTTGGATCTTTTTACATTAAATATAATGGAAATATTCATACTCATTTTTTCTCCCAAAGGAAAAATTTCAGAATCAATATTCTGCACAAAATAAAAAGTTGTTACTTGAAATTCAAGTTTCTATAAAGAATGTAAGTAACACACAATTATATTTCCAAAATCTGAAATCATTGACATGATTTTGGAGTACTTTCCCCCCAAAATTCATTAATATTCAAAGATAGCCCTCAGTAGCATTTAAAAAAAATTCTTCTGCCCTAGCACAACCTCCTGAGACCTGTTAAAAAATATCAGTTCTGGGATCAGGGCTGATGGTACAGGCAGTTTTGTATTTGTTTTTTAAAGATTTAATTATTTATGCACATAAGAACTGGGGTATAGGTCAGAGGTTCAGGGGGTGAGGATTCACCGGACACAATAATGGGGAGCAGAACAGGTAGATATACTGTAATACACTGCCGGGGGAGCAGTGGGCTGCTCAGAAGAGGTCCGCCACACCACATGGGTCAGCTCCATGGCTGGGGATCAAACTCGTGCTGCGGTGGCTGGGGAGCGCTTCACAGTGCTGTGCTTTAACTGGTTGCGCCACCAGGGAGAGCCCAGTTTTTGTATTTGTAGAGAAAAAACAGTGACTGGTCACCAGTAATCTGTAGATTTGGTCAAGAGCTCAACAAAGGCCTGCTAGTCATTGTGAATGACTGCCACGCGTGTGAGAATAGTAAGGGAGCCCACCATGTTGGTGTCAACTCTTATAAAAAGAGTAAAGGGGCCCTCCCTGGTGTTGCAGCGGGTTAAAGCACAGCACAAAGAAGCTTAAGCCACTTCCGTATGAGTTGGATCACCGCCTGCCCCGAGGAGATCCACATGGCGAGGCAGACCTCTCCTGACCCGCCCGCTGCTCCCCTCAGCAGTGTACTTCGTCAATCTGCCTGTTCTGCTCCCCGCTCTGTCTCTGGTGAACCCTCTCACCCTCCGCATCTCTGGCCTGTACCCCAGTTCTGTACGAATAAATAAATGAGTCTTTAAAAAATAAATAAAAAGAGTAAAGGAACAAAAACATCCGTGAGTAAGGTACCAGGAAAAGTTGTCCATAACCAAAATGGTAGGGGAAGTAACCCAGTTTCAGGGAGTGTGTTCATGTGTTTCCTTCAAAGGGCTCCTCTGGGTGCTGCTGAATGTGTTCCATGCCAGCCTATTCAAAGTTTCATTGATTTAAAAAATATAGTAAAACACGGCTGCCCTTGCCAACAGACACTATCTCACTCCAATCCGTCCCATCTGCTGCTAGAAGTTCATCAATCTTCATGTACTGTGCAATGGTCCTGAAAATCTCGTTCTCAATCACTTAGTTTTGAACAATGAGTGTGGCTTTGGCATTCCAGAGAAAGCCACCAGAGTCACCAGCTGGGAGAAAAGTGAGGGGGAGGAAGCAGCCCTGAACAAAGCTGACTGATTAAGCATGGGACCGTGGCTGGGCACGCAGCAGCTTGGTCTCTGTGGCAGAGCCGCTGTCTCTTCATCCGTAAGCTCGAGCTACATGACCATGTGTTACATACTGAAGCCTTCCTGTTGCTTCAGTTTCCTCGTCTATAAAAACTGGCTTTTGATATCTACCTACGACGGCTGTTGTGAAGACTAATAAATGAGTATCTGTAAAGTTCTTGTGAGAGAAATAAACTAACACAGTGGCCTAAGGAAATGTGGCCTGAGGTTGTTACTGCCATCCTTGGAGGTTTCTGAGATTAAATGAGATGACAGGTGTATGTGCAAGGGACAGAGGCCTAGAAGACTATTGTACTGACTGGTCTGGCTGGGCTCAGACCACAAAGATGCCAGTATTGAGAAAATGGTTTTATCCAAGAGTCAAAGGCAGTGAGTAAACTCATTTGGGACCCAGATGGTCATGATGTAGTTTTTAAAAAAAGAATATAATAGTTTATTTTTACATCATTTTGTGCCTTCTTCCATCTCAGTACTCATGATGTAGTTTTTAAAAGATCTCAAACACGAAGGAGAAGATCCTAGAAGATAAATGAAGAACCAGAAAAGAAAAAAAATAGCAAGCTCACCACTCTGCAGTTAGGAAAAGTTTTTTTTCCATTTAATACTAGACTTTCAAGGATTGAGATGCAAGCTTTTTATGCAATTACATCCAATGTTAAAATTGGTAATACATAATTTACAAAGATTAACATCAAAACAATCATCTATTTAGATATGCTTTTGTAAAAAGGAAATATATTAGCAGCATTTATATTTTCCGCAATCACACAGCCTACAGACATGCAGACTAACTGTATCTATTTGCAGTGATGTAGTGCTTTGCCCCGCATTTCAAACACCAAAACCCGCCTGGCAGCTAGGGGGTTCTTTTTATTTCGTTATTATAAAATAACTGAAAAATAAAAAAAGGCATTAATTTCTACACCAGTAAGAAAAACGAAGTTTTTGCACTTACCTAACATTTGATTGTCTAAAAAACATTTCAGTTTTTAGTCTTTCAACAAAAGAAAGATAAAATGACAGAGCGTAGTGTCTTTTGCTTCTGTTCTCGCATTTTACAAAGTTTTTTTTCTTTTTTGTATTTTTTAAAATTTTAGTGTTTAACACTATTAAAGGAAATATTGAATTTAATCTCTTTCTTCTCATTTTCCTGCTTCTGACTAAAAGGAGACCCCCAAAGTGCCCCTAGTCCCCCACCTCCCTCCCACCCAGTTCCCTGCAACGAAAATCAAAAGAAACCACTCAAACGGGCTTGGACATGCGATTTTTCCAGCTCCACACATGAGTATCTTATACCCAGGTCTCTTAGTAATGTACAGTGCTTCTCTACAGTAAGAAAATACTCCAAACTATTTTCTTAATTCTCTTTTTTCTTTAATAAAATATTTATTCTGCTTTTTCTCTGCTCAAGGGGATCTTTGGCATCCCCTGTCTCTTTTGTTTTTTCCTTCAAGATCGACACAGAAAGAAGAAAAAGAAAAAAAAAGATTCAATGGAATGGAAGGTGGTCAATGTTTCTACCTAAACAAGTCAGAGTGTCGTCATCATAAGGGGAAATGTACAGTTAGGACAGCATTGGTCCAAT